AGGACACTGCATACTTGTGCAGCCGCTCAGGCCAGGTGCTGACTGTGAGCATTCAGATGAACGGCTGGGTACACGTTGGCAATCTGATTTGCCCAGCCTGTTCAGACTTCTGTGACTCCTGTCCCCCAGAGAGGGATCCTCCAGCTTCTAACTTAACAAGAGCTGCACCCATTGGTAGGTTGCCTTTTTTGCTGAAGTGAAACTTCAGTATTAAATATCTGAAAATGTCAAAGATTTGTGTCAGCTCTGTCCAGAACAGGAAAGGAAGGCTGTGGCTATTTTAAGATCCCAGGTGTAGGAGGTAAGGGAAAATAGCAAAGGTGTGGTATGTTTTGCTGTGCAGTCGTGCAGAATAGTGACTAACACAGCAGAAATGTGTCTGAAACATAACGCCTTCATTTCATGTCTCCTGGTAATCATCCCAGAAATCTAGCTTTAGCATGGGAATTTCCCAGGAAATCTGACCTGTGTTTTGAAGGCCATATTGTGATTATAATCTTAAAAATTATCACCTCAGTGGAAAGTGAAATCTCACTTTTATGCCTTCCTATTGATAATGTTCATGTTGTAATGCAGAAAGATCAGAGTCAATTTTCTTTTTGAGGAAGGTAAAAAGCTGAATTCACTAAATTCCAGTTAATGTTTTGTCAAGAAGTTTGTTTTAACTCTTTGGTGGTTTTTATTGTTCTCTTTGTTATTTATCGTGTCTTTAAATGTAAAATTTATAATTTTTTTTTTTTTTTTTAGATTTATGCTCCTGCTCATCCAGCCTGGTTGTAACCCTTTGGCTGCTGGTGGCCAACTTAGTTCCCCTGCTAACAGGATTGTTTCTCTGTGCATAGACTTGAGCTTGGGGCAAGAAGAAGTTCTGAGATAACACCCATCCTGCTGCACTCCTTGCTGTGGAGCACGGGGGTTCTGTCTCAGCAGCAGCTCTCTCCTGCTGAACCTCATCTCCCCTGGCAAGTATCACTGCACACAGTAGTCAGGGAGGTGTTGACAAAAGCAGGCAGAATTTTGAGAGGAGGAAAATTTACCTTGTTATCTCAATAAGTGCCAGTATTTTCCTGAATTGCAACCTATGGGTTTTTTGATGCAGTAACAAGATCCACTTTGCCAACTGTGTTAAACTACCTGGCAGCTCAGTCAAGATTTGAAATGAGAACTCTTCTGTAATAGACCTGAGGGCTGTTTTTTTTGTTATGTCTGTTGTGGTAGCAAAGCATCCTCAAGCTGGAAATATACCTCAGTGGTTTAGTCAAAAGCCATGTAAAATCAGTTGTCATCACTGCTGATAACCAAGGCCTAAAGAGGCTGGTGATTTGTTTTTGTTTTGTTCATTCTTACAATTTTGTGGAGGAGGAAAGAATGTCATTGGATAAACCAGTGGCTGGCAGATGCCTCCACAACTGTATTCTGCAGCTTTGAGCCCCCTCAGAATTCATACTAGGTAAAGCAGCTAATTCTTGGGGTTTATTACATCTTCCTACATAGACAAAATGGAATTTCAGACTGGTAACCAGTACTACTGTCTAGAAATCCCATTTTCATTTAACGTGTGCCAGTTCTACTGTGAAATTTAATACATCACATTTGAATACCCTCTAGAGTTGTTAGGCAAATGCATTTCAGTACTGATACTCAGACTGTAAATGTGGGATAGAATTTAGGATTATTTTTTCTTTTGTTGGCTTGTTTCTCAAAATAATGGCATTATTGTTTCAAAACTAGTATGAACATTACTGAAGATGTTCTCACTTCTTGTTGAAGAGCAAATCAGTAGCAATGGCAGCTATAATCTTACAGGATCATGCTGATGTCTCTAGACCAAAAACTATATTGAATGTGGAAGGAAAGCCTAATCTGTTTTCTTTTTTTTCTTCCCTCTACTCTTTTTGGACATGTAAATACTATGGATTATTTGAGTATTTGTGGTAAGCTGAGAATCAGATGGTTTGAGCCACATGAGGGCACACCTTGCTACAATATTAATCACTTGATGACAAAATACATGAGGAAGGAAATGAGTAAAATCTGTCAAGATAAGGACAGCTGCTCTATAGGACCCTTGTTTCTATTTATTTCTGACTATAATGTGTTTACAAATAATCCTGTTCAGAGGTAAAGAAACTCTTTGTGGTTCAATCCACTGTCTGTCCTTTTAGGACAGTTTTCACTCCTGGAAAAGTGTTAAATTTAAGGGAGCAGACGTGTCCATTGCACTAAAAAATGCAGATATAGGGAGAAAGATGAGGTTACTCTGCTTCCTAAATGTTCTGTGGCATTATAATTGTCAGTGACTGGATCCCTTTCCTGAATGGAAAGTAGGGAGATGGAGTAAAACTTTAGGTACAATTATACTGTAATAATAGGACTTCCATCATGATTGTAAGAAATTCTTTGTGCCTACTGGACTTGGTTTTGTTGGGTTTTTTTATTATTATTTTTTTATTTAAGGAAACTGTTATGACACTGCTGAGGCAGTAAGGTGCAACCTTAAACTGTCTAAAGACATCACAGTTGAGAGCACCTTGCACTGGGCTAGTTCTCCTTCTTAACTGCAGGTTAAGCTGTGAATTACACAAGGCCTAGGCTAGCCTTAAATCAGTGTCTCGGAGAAGCAATACAAGTCAGGACTCAAATGCTTTAAAATTGTCCAAATGGAATTATTAAACGCTCAGATTGATAAGTGAAGGCTAATTATTTTAATATATCCACAAAACGGTCGATGTAAACTGTTACCTGGAAAACATAAAGGTCTGAGAATGCATCTTAGGTCCCAGAGGTTGATATTGTATTTTTTGTCTGTTGTGCAATAATACAGTTGAAATGGTATCACTCACCAACAATGCTTTTGATACTTGAAAAGAAATTGCTGGTTATTTTTTCTTACTGTGAAATGTTTGCACTGTCTGAACTTTCTGGTTAACTTTATAACTGTTAAACTTTTTAACTGGTGTTAATTTATTGTGCTCAGTATTTGATATGCTGGTCTCCTGTCTAAGTGTGAGATTTGTCATATTTAATGGAATATTTTTATCTTCTACACAGTTGTTTATCTTGAGGGCTTTTCTTCTTTTAATCTCTCTTCCTGAGAATTAACTGAAAGATGGGTTAGAAAATTGATGCTTACCTACTTCTGAATTGTATGCATTAATTAAAGAAAGGGGATGTAGTGCTTTGTATTGAAAGGGGAAAAAATCTATCAGCCTGTTGGAGCTCTTGTGGTCAGGTTCACCACTACCTGCTAAGCAGCTGCATCAGTGAATCCAGTGAAGTAAAACTGCTACTGCCTTAATAATCTGAGATTTCAGTTGTAATTTCTTTGTTGTGCAGCCCTTCAGCTGCCTGTGAACTGCAGAACTGGACGTGACTTTGGGGGGTCGGGCGTGGAAGGTACTTTAGTCAGAAAAATGCAACATCTTCTATCCCACCAGGGTGTTAGCAGCTGATAGCAGCTGTAGCCTTGTGGGAACTGCCAGGGAATGTGTCAACTTAAAGTGGCAATGAACTGGTAGCTGTCATACAGAATATTTGAGTAAAGCTGACTACCTCAGTTCTGTTTGTCTTTGCATTCCGCTTTTACCCTGCTGTGAACTTCCAGATCTTAACATGAATTAAGTAAAATCGTGTCTCAGGTTTTTAAGAGTAAAATTACTACAGTTGGAAGCATAAGCCATTTTTGAGCATAGAACACAGCTAAAATTGTAGCTTAAGCAGATCAGTTATGTAGCCTTAAGTGTAGTTTCTGCCATAAAATTCAGAATTCTTTTAAATAAATGCAAAGTTTGCTGTGCTAGGTGTCCTGACCACACATGACCAGTCCCTCCTATTGCATCTCTTAAGTGTGAAAACTTGGAAATGCAGCCCATTTAAGCCTTTGTGTTTCCACCAAAGACTGGGCAGCAGGAGCCCTGGAAGTTGTGCTGAGATGCATGAGTTTGCTCATCTGTAACAGAAACATTTTCAGTATATAGTGTCCACAGTTTTAACTTCATAATTTAAAAAAAATATTTCATGTTTGCTTAGGAGAGTAAATTAGTCATGCAGTCTTTTTTGGTCCCAGTAGTTCAAATAATTTCAATTAGAAGTTGAAGCAAGTCATCTTTTAGGAGCACATTTTTTCTAGCGTTGCAATTACAAGGAGGAAGGAGAGCTTTTGGCTGGAGAATGCAGCAAGTAAAATCACAAGGAAAAGCAGCAATTCATTTCTCCTCAAATGAGCTGAGGTCTTGGGATACAGTCATGGCCCTTGATGTAGGTTAATTACTGAAAGAGAATTATATCCCCCATTAATAGACTGTCAGCCCAATACAGCTCATTCTTTCTGCTGAGCTGTCACGAACTGGGGAGAGTGATGTCTGAGAGCAGACATATCCACAATCCCTTATGAGGCCAGTTGTTTTTAAATCTTCCTGTCCTGCAAATCTTTCTGCTTCATGATATTCAGTAGAGAGGGAGGTGTACATCTGTCCTTCCCCACATTTCCAAGGAGTGACTTTCAGCCAGCTGAGCAGCTCAAGGTGTTTTCCCTGCAAGACTGAATCCCTGTTTTTAGCTTGTTTGGATGTGTGGGTGCCTGCTTGCATGTATGTACTGCTCTGCAGGATTTGGGGCTGTTTGTGCACTGAATAACATGATCTTACACTACCAGACTTCCAAAGTGCAAATGTTACCTTTTTAAAGTGAAGCTTACCTTGGAGATAAAACAACTGTTTTGAGAGAACTGGCTGACCTTGAACATGTGTTTCCTATTTTGGTACAGAATGTAAATATAGAACTAACTATTTTACACAGATTTTGGCTGGACTGAGATATAAGGGCTAATTTGTGTTATTTATGGAGTAAAAATTTCCTTATTTTACTGTTTAAAAAAGGTATGTCATGCAACAAAAGAAAAAACTGTTCTTCAATAAAATATCTGTAGAATATTAAATCTTCTTGTCCTTTTCTTTGACAGCTGACGATGATTAACTGCAAGAGTAAGAGGGCTAAAGGACCACTATTACAACATCATTTATTTTGTGAGAACATTGAAAAATGAAATTACATAAAGTCTGCATATTGATCACTTTATTAAACTGTTATTTGATACACTTTGAATGTAAAATATTCTATGTTATTATTAGCTCATACATGACTTATTAGAAATTCAGCCTGATGGTGAAGGAAGGAAGTTCCCGAATTCTCTATCCCATCTTCATGTATTTGATACTTCAAAACTGTGCAAGGTGTAAGTATTTTTCCACTTCAAATTGAAGATCATAAATTCCCTGCTTTGTGTGAAGGATTTGGTCACATGATTTCTCTGCAGAGCCCCAAGCTGTTAGCTGTGACTGGAGTCTGAGCAGGAGGAGCTGAGCTACCCTTGCTGCTGTTCAGGAGGATCAGGGATGCTGCAGCCACTGGTTTTGGTACCTGAGCTAGCTTTGCTAGCTGTGAGACTGAGATTTTTACAATATATTTGTAATTACAATACATTATTTTTTATATAGATATATATTACTCTGGTAAATGTGAAAGACCTATAATTTCTCTAAAATTAGTTGTAATTATTTTATAATTAGCTAATTTTTTTTTCTCTAAGCAATATGACAGCGAGCATTTAAAAAAACTTGCCTTCCTCTCTGCTATTTCAGAAAATCTGATAAAGCACAGCAAAAGTAGGTTACTCTTCCTTTTTTTTTTTTTTTTTTGCCTTCTCTCAAAATAGGAGTATTTCAAAAGGGGATTAAAGCTTATAAAATGTGCCAGTGTTCATTTTGTAGATGTTTTTAACTCTGAAAAATATCAGGTAAGTAAAGTTACCCAAGTACAGCTGTAAGGTTTAAAAACTTCAATGTTTCTAAAATTTACGCCCCACTGGTAGCACAATAAAAACCCCGGGTTTGTGAACCCAGTTTAAAACTCAGAAGCAGATGGGAGATCTTTCTCCTGGAGTGTAAGATGTGCTGCTTGAGCAGGACACTACTCTGCTGTCTGGAAAGGCCCAGTGGAGTTTCCTGAAATGCAGCCTGGTGTGAAATGCCAGTGTACAGGAGTTCTGTGCGTCTCTAGCGGTCATTTCCATACAGGTATAAAAGTCAAGTATCACAGAGGGTTTGGCACTGGTACTGGTTGCCCCCTCAAAATATCAGCAACTGCACAAGCTTGCAAGCTGAGCCCTGGGTACATCTCCCTGCCAACCTCCACTTCCCCCCTCTCAGCTGGTTCAAATTCATGATGAGGACTTGCTGAGAAAATCTGATGCTAACAAAATTGTCTTTGGTTATTCCAGATGGTTTTTCTGTAGTTTAAATGAATACAGTAAATTTAATCAAGGTCAGATTACTACTGAGGATTCCTAGCGTCCCAGATTTGAAACAAACAATACCCCCTTCCCACATCCCTTCTCCTTTCCCCCACCCTTCAAACTGCTTTATTTATAGATCTGATGAACATTCTTGTGTGTCTGAGCACAGTAATTGTACCTATTTTTCCAAAGAAGCTTCTACTGGGAAACTAAATCAAGGAAGGCCTAAATGTCCCAAAATACAAAATGTTATTTATGTTTGAGGGGAATTACAGAAATCCAGCATTTGCCCATGCAATTGCATCTAACTGCTCTTGGATTTTTTTAAACTATGATTTATCTGTTTGAATGAGTTCTTTGAATTTTATGTGAGCTATTTAGCTCTGTTGTAGAAATTACAAGGGGAACTGTTTTCAGTCAACAAGAAAATAATTATAGGGAAATACCCACATTACTAACTCAAATGAAATTATGTTAAGTTTTACATTTGTTTCCTATTCCTTAGGTATAATGTTGAAATTAAAGGCAGATGTTTTTACCCCCAGGACAAGGGGAATTAAATACATTCTTTACTGCTTTAGCAGCAAGTGTCACACAGCCTGTTTCTCTACTTCAATTACTGTGGAGTGGACAGAAGTCCCAGAAAGGTGAGAATTCAGCCAGGTGAGGAGAAGGGATGTCTACATGTGCTCTGGGTGGTTCTGCAGGCACATGATGAAATCTTGGATTGATCGACCCTCATAGCAGATCTTGTAGATGGTTGTAAATAATGGAAACCTGAAAGAAGCATATAGGAATTAAAATAGTTTTGAAAGTTTATATGAACATTTCTATTCCATTTTAATGGAAATATTTTTTTTGTTCTGTTGAAAGTGGAAAAATTTTGTCTCTCTTTACAATATTATTTTAGCTTGGGGCTGCCTTTACTGGAAGAATACTGGGCGAAGGAGTTAAAGAGGGACAAATCATGGGCATAACAGCACAGAAAAGCTGTTTTGGAAATGAAACACCTATCCAGTATTTTTTATTTAAAAACAATTTTGAATTGCATATCCTTTTTTCCTGCTGTGTGCAAAATGGATATATTATTTGCAGTCATTACCGATATCCAAAGGACTAAAAAGAATGAAAATGTCTAATGATTTTCTTTTCTTGGCTTAAAGGATTCTTTTCCTTTTACAAGCTGTCTTCGTCATTATGTGGTAAAAAATGAGTCCACTGAATGACTCGAAGCTGAGCATGTAACAAAGGGCAATTATAGGATAATTATTAGATCAAGCTGCGATTTAAAGCTGCTGTCAAAATGAGCTTTCCTTTTCTCTCTCATTTTTGAAAGATATTGCCACTTGAATCTTCTGTATCTGTGCCAATTCTAATAAGTTTTTAAGGATTCATTTAGCAGTGTTTGACTTCTCAGTACTGCTGATATATGAGAGGAAATGGGATGGAGAGAAGTCTAGCTTTTCTGTTGTGTAAGTAGGCAAAGGTTTCAAATTATTTATAATCTTACATCATCCCAAGGTACTTTTTACCTTTACTGTTTTACATTTATGGCACTAAAGCACTGCTATCAGCATATATTCCCTGCTCAGTGCATGTAAAAGTTTTTGATTAGGAATATGATCCTGAAATTTGTATTGAGATAACCAAATTCAGGTTTGCACTGAGAGCAGGACTGCTGCAAGCTCAATGCTGGTATACTGAGAACAAGAAACGCTTTGGCCCATGAATCATGTCTGAAAGATGATTCTGTGTGCAGCCTTAAATCTTATTTGGGGGATGGGGATGTCTGGGAGGCTTCTTTACATTATAATTACTTTTGTTTCTTGTGTATGGGCCATTCATTTAAGAGTTGGTGATGATCTCTATGGGTCCCTTCCAACTCAGAATATTCTATGATTGTTTTCCCTGCTGTTCCAATATGTAATCTCACATGACTCTATTAGGCACTAACAGTATCCCCTGAACCCACTCTCTATCTGTGAGTTGTTTCTTCTAACAATGCTCAGCCCTTCTCCCATTCAACTGATCCTGGCAATGAGGAGTCAAGCCAGACTCTAGCAGGGGCCAAAGATGTAGAAAGCTGTTGTTGCAGAAATGAACAAGATAATTAAACACAAGTACAGTTAAGAAGGTTGTGGGTCACTCATAATTTGTTGTGGTTTTTGTTGTTTTTTTAACTCAAAGCACTTACTTATGGAGCATATCCTTCTGTTTCAGAATTTTGTAGACTTCAGCTGAGGTCTGAGGACCTTGCAGCTTTTGTCCATTCAGCATCTCTTTTTCCAGCTCCTCAATGGACTAGAAGAGAGAAGACTGATTACTTGGGTCAGAGGGGATACTGCTGTGATACCAGCAGTTATCAAGAAGGTAAACAATTAATGATGCCTTTGTAAAACACAGAAGGAGTTCTTTATGTGTCAGCGTAAAATATTTCAAAATCCTCCTTACTTTTCCTGTGCGAGCAAAGGCTTCTGCTACTTTTCTGTTGCGTCCCCCGTAGCAGGTGGTGATGAGATCAGCAACCCCACAGCTTTCCAAAAAGGTGGCTATTGACACTGGTCCCTTGCAGAACATCTTGGCAAAGGCCACCATCTCCATGAGGCCCAGGCGTATCACTGCTGCCTTGGTGTTGTCACCGAAACTCAGTCCATCGCAGAACCCCGCGCCCACCGCCACGATGTTCTAAAAATGGGCCAGTGCAAAATACAGGGAGGGAAGGAAACTGTCAGCCAAGGTGTGCAGCTTTCAGCAGGTCCCGAGCTCCAAGGAGCCCCCACAACTCGTCTTCAACAGAACAAGTGTAAATTTCCAATGGCCATGAGTTTATCTTATGATGAAACACATCAGATAATGTTGAACAAAAGTCACTGGACTTGTAGAAGATTTTTATTAAGTGTCTACTGTTACTCCCATGGGCAAAAACCAAAGCAGTGTTTCATACACTAACATTGCAATCACATAGCATGTATGCAATTAGTGTTTTGTTTTCCCACTCGCTCTAAGTTGGATCTCGCTGACCTTTCTGTTTAACTATTTAAAATATCCCACACTGAGTCATATCTTTCTAGGTTTTTTTTGTGGGTCTCTGATTTGAGCAGGCATGGATTCTATGAAGGTGCTGCAGTAGATCAAATTTTGGGCTTACCTACAAATATCAGTAGAACTGCTCTTGTCTACAGCTCTAAACAAATCTTTCAGGATCTTAAATGTCTTCACAAGTCTCGCCATTGTTCAGCATGCTTCCCTTCCCACCTTCCAATTCCCAACTCCTAAATAAGTCCCTAAATAAATGTAGTTCAGTGTGTATGAGTAATATGCCACTTAGTGCTACCATTGGCATGTTTGCTCCAGACATGTATCTACCCTAGTGCACATGTTAAATTTTTAGGGTTTTTTTAGCAGAGGCAAAACCAATGATTTCAAGAAGTGGAATGATTTATCATAAAACAGTAAAAAATTCTTCCATCTGTTCCTGGCCCTCAGCGTTCTGCTGTGTGGCCAAAAGCAAAATCTGCAGTGTTTGGTTTTGTATGTCAAAATGTTTTATTTTTATATGTGAAGTTAAACAGGACCAATTCTTTCCTCATCAGTCATCCACCTCCTCCATGGAAAGGTGAATTATTGAAGTATAAATGACTAAATGTATAAAGAAGTAAAAAGGATCACATGCTGAAGTGACTTTAAATTCATATAAAAGCAAACTCTGAATCTCACACTATTGTCTCCTCATTGGAAATTCAGTGACTCTGGTGTAATTTCTGATCCCACCTGGGATCTCCATGTGGATATTGCTGAATTCCACACAGATGAGCTTGGGCATAATTATAAGTGGAGCTACTCTATGTAGTAAGGGTCTTTGTTCCATGTGCTCACAACATGCAGACAAGAAAATACAGTGAGACTCTGGTCTCAAAAACAGATGTGCCTCTAGTAAAATAAAGATAAAAATGTATTTTTAAATGCTTTGCCTGCAGCTGCATTTTAAATAAATTTCCCCTTTTTGGGGGAATTTTTTTCCCAGGTTGGAAAATTTATTTCCCAGGTTTATTTTCCGTTTGGAAAACTGGCTCATGAATTATGCATCTTGTCTGCACTCATTCACTCACATAGTGACAGGACTCAAATTAGACCCTGTGGCTTACAGAAGACTCAGGTGAGGTTAGAATTTGGTCCTAATAAAATATATTGGCTTGAAAACACTCACTTTTAAGGCTCCACAAAGCTCCACTGTATCAGAGTCAAGCACCACAGTAATCCTGAAATTGGGGGTCTGCATTAATTCTTTAAAGATTTCTCCTTGAGTTTCGTTTTTGCATCCTGTGGGAAAGAAGGATGAAAGAGCACTCTTACAATGTTTCAGAGTGCACACAATTCACCTGAAATAAAGTTCTAGGGACTACTTCAGCTTTTGTGATCCCAGTCCCAAGGTGTTGCTAAACCAGACATTTGTGCTGCTGGATGCCAGTGTTAAGTGTAGGCAAATCCAGGGCATTGGTCAATATTGCCTAATGACAATTTAAAGAGCTTAAAAGTAGATACCCCTTAATGAATCTTTCTGCCTGAGAAAGCTTGTACAGCCACAGACCTTACAAAAGACATTATTTACAAACCGTTTCCTGCAGGACAATGGTATAATTTCTGCTTTGAAAATGTAAACCTGTGTCATTGCTAAGTACTATCATGGGGCACAAATTACTATTGCCCAGTTACAGGAGGATCCACAGATGATGTAATTCCAGCTGGCACTGCCAAAACCTTTTCCCTACCATTCTACAGAGGTCTTGTATCGTGTTGCTACAGTGCTCAGCCAAGGAGAGCCCTTAGTGCTAAAGGAACTGAGGTTTGCCATGACCCAGAGAGCCCATGGCCAGCTGGGCAAAGACCTTTAAATAGAGTTGCACTTGAGTTTTGTGTATGGTAACTTGGTTTCCCTCAGGCTGAGCTCAGCTGTGAGTTTTACTAGCCTGGGGCACCACACTCTGGTAGCTGGGAGGTTTCTCACCATCTCCTGAGAAACTTTAGGTTTGCCTCTTGTTCTTCACAGTACCAGTTCTCTTTGACGTGGCTGTTTCTGGACTGCATGGCTTTCCATGGGGACAAAAATAAGGGGCAAAGCTCTTTGCACAGTCATCACCATGGCTTCAAACCAGGCCAGGAGAAGTTAAATTCCCCACAAGAGAATTAATATAGCCCCACCCTCCTAATCATGTCTAGTCCTATTTGTGCCTAGCTGCTCTTTCAGTAACAAATGCCCAGCTGGTACAGTTGCACCATTAATGTAATATTTGCAAGGCAAAGGAACATTATTGCAACACAATTTATTTTTCTTTTTCCTTTCCTAGCTATTTAAGGATGTAACTTTAATTTTGACTGACCTCAAAACTACTGGATAAACTGAGTTTTAAAAACTCTGCATTTTAAAAACTACTGGATGAACTTTCCAAATCAGGTCAGACTCAGTCCTGGGAGGATCTGAGGCCGTGTCTTGGCAAGCAGTCCAAGTGGCAGAGAGGAACAGAATGTTACTGGGTTTTCTTTTCCAAACAAAGAAATTTTAAGATGAAGAAATACACCTCTGGGAGTGTGAGCACATAGGAGCTTCTGATTACACTTCTTTATCTAGACTGTATTGTGTATCAACTGCTGATGTACTCTGTGTTGAGCTCTACAGACACAAAAGGTGGCTCTTGCCAATTCCTACAGAAACAGGATTAAGATATGATATTTTCAATGGATTAAATTAACTCCCAGCACTAAAACCCACTGTCAGTTTGAATCTGATTCTTTTAGCATCAAATTCTCTGGAAAGAATCCTGGCTCCCTGAAGGAGCTCAGCAGGCACTGTTCCACTCGGGGACCACCTGGGACCAGTCACATCCCCCTGCTTCTTGCAGAGGTTATCCTGCCACAGGTGATTTTAAATCTCAGCTCTAATTGGCCTTTGCAATAGTTACCAATGGTGGTTTCACAGAACTTCTCATCAGCCACTTCTTTGGCTATGTTGGCCCCCATCAGCACACTGATCTCTATTTTCAGCTGCTCTCGAATGAGGTCAGAGATGAGCTTCAGGCCATCAGGACCCTCATCAATCCCCTGAAAAGAAGATAGTTAAAGCCAGGGTATTAGAATAGGAAAATGACAACAGCAGAGCACTGGTAAAGCAGAAGGCATTCTGTTACCTGCAGCCCTCTGGTTTTAATTGAAAAAGAGTTTAATAATCACTAGTGTTATCCATTAATAAAAATGCTCTGGATTTGTACTTTGGTAACTGCAAATTCAAGGCAATCTCAGGGAGAAGGGGTGACAGTCAAGGTAATCCTGCAAGAAGCCTCACATGAAGTGCTGCTGTCCTGAGGCTTGCTTTCTTTGATGTATGTTTCCTTTCAGTTAAATTTCTGTAGTACAGAAAAAGACATTTAAAATTAAATCTATAAGAAATGGTTTTTTTTGCAAGATCTAAGTATTAATCAGAGTGCTTTTTGGGTGTTAAGGAGTATACTGAACTGTCTTGGGTTTTTTAAGCTGAATTTGCAGAAATTTCCTTCCTCTCCCACCTTCCTCTCTTACTGCTGCCTATGAGATAATTTCTATGGAGCGGAAGAGCTGGTATTGAAGTCCAAAAACTTGAATTTTATTTATTTCATTACAATTCTAAGTGGGATATTTCCTGTAATACAATCAAACAAAGAAGTGGTAAGACTACATTCCTATGCTTTGCCTCTGGCTTTTAGTTTGACATTCTCTTAAAATATTAATTCCTTTAAAGATAACGATAATCTGGTACCTCTCTAACCTTAAAAAGAGATTCCTCCATTCATGCCAGATTGAAATTGCTTCAGTTTTGCAAAATCATTAGCGTTATTATGCCATTTTAAAGCTGCCAAGAACAGCTTTAGCATGTACTTGGAAGAGGCACTTTGACTCGGGAGTTCTCAGTTAGGAGTTAACTCAGGCTGTAGTCTCAGAGTATTTTTTCTGGCAGCAGTGCCAGCTTTACGCATCCCTTCCTCTGCCCATTTTCACCTCCATGCTGGTCCAAGTGGGAACTGATCCAGGCTAAACATGACTGGCAAAAACAGATACTTTTAGCCTGAATAGGTTGCCCCATCCTTCCCTGTCAACAGCCAGGAGAGCAGCAGAAGGGCTGGCAGAGCTGGGCAAGGTGTAACTCTTGCAGAAAGAAATGCTGGTGTTTATGCAGAGCACGCAGCTGAGGGCTGCAGCTCCTGCCCTTAAGTTGGAGCTGTTTATTTACTCCATATTGACTGGCTACTGTGGAAACAACTTACCTTGATCAGGGAAATCCCAAATGTCCCAGGTTTTATCTGTCCTGCAATCTGCCCACAGATTCGTCCAATAAATTGATGTGGCAGAACAAACACTAAAATATCTGCCCCCTTTGCTGCTTCAGCCACGTCTGGGACAGCCACCTGGGACAAGAGTGACAAACAAAATGAGCCCCAGGTAGGAATCCTCAGTCCTTGCAAGACACCATCATGCCAAAGCCATGGCAGATGCAGTGCAAATGTCCTTAATTTTAACTGGCCCTGTGGCATAGCTGCCAGCTCTCCACACAGCTACAGATCTCTTCTGAAATATCCAAAGCAGATGAACTGTTTTGGGGTTTGATTTTTTATATTTTTTTTATAATTTAGCCCTGTGTGGATAATCTGGGAAAGATGATATACTTCATAAATTTGTGGTGTGCTGGGAAGCCCCTTTGCTAGTTCAGCTTCTTGATCTGGTTCCTGAAGATGGCTGACCAACCCCATATAATTCTTCTGGAATGAGTGGTAGCACTGGGGAGCACAGGAGAAAATTGGGGTGACGGGACAGAGGCTCTTCTAGAAGTCTTTAGTTTCCATAGGTCACCAGCTGAGTTACTGAGGGATAAACTATCAAAAGACAGAGATTATCATTATCTTTGTGTGTGTGTCTTTGTTTTAAATACACAGTAATTTTCCCAAGACTTACAAAAACCTATACAACATGCTTAAAAACTATCTAGCTGTATCTTCCTCCAAATGCTGGCATTACTCAGAACAGCAATTCAAGCTAGGCTACAGAGGCAACAGGTGAATTTGAGCCTGCTAGAAGCAGTTTACAGTAGGAGAAAACATCACTCTTGGATGCAGCCTTGGAGCATGCAGTCTTGAGCAAGTGGTTTCCCAGCAAGAAAACCAGAGCTGCTGCCAGCCAGGCTGCTTCTCTGGGAAAACAGTGAAGTGGGAGCAGGGCAGAGGCTGGCAGCACTGCAGAGGCTGTGCTCCTGTCTCTCCAAAATTGCTGCAGAGCAATACAAGGAAAAACTCAGCTTGTTTGGTTTTCTTTTTTTTTTTCTCAGTTGGAGATGGTCTGAGGGTCCCTCTACTACAGCCAGCTGATTTTTGCTGGTGAAGCCTCAGGCTTTGCTCTAAACAGGGTGAGACTGGCCTCAAGGGATGATGACAAAAGCTGCTAGGGGGTTGAAAAAATAACAGTGACAAGTCAGTTGTAACCCAGGAGAACTGTGTGCCAAGTTCAAACACTAGGAGTGCAAATTTGCAATCACAGCACAAAATGGAATACTAAATATAACCACTCCCCAAGCAAGGAGACCCACCACATGGAGCATTTTCATTTCCCTTTACAACTGCAACTGTTCCAAAAAATGTGGCACTACTCACAAAGCAGTGGTGTTTGGTAAAATGTTGAACAGCCAAACCCCCTCACCTCATTTGCTTCAGTAGCAGTAAATTATCCAAGGTGATTAATTTAAGTAGAGATGTGTAACTTAGTATTTTAAATGTGCATGAAAATAAATACCTTATATTTTGATGGAATTTAGAACTTTATTAACTACAGCTGTCCAGAAATCACCTATGAGCTGATAGCTCATTATTCACCTCCTTGTAAGCCACAGCTCTGCTTTTGATTTCTTTCTCAAGAAAGGAGAACAGTAGCTTTGGCTGTTTTTTCCAGAAGATGCTCTGGGTTTGAAATATCTCAGCTCTGTATAGACAGATCTCTGCCAGGGAGGAGGATGGTGTGATACCAGCACAGACACAGTTGGTGTTTGAAGTTGCACATGACATACAAGACAAGCAGAAATCACAGAACTTAATTATATTCCAGGGAGTTATAATGGAGTGAGTTAGGTGGCAAACCAGAACAAAACAGTGAATTGCTTCCTGATTTTTTTTCAGACATTGCCTCCCTTATTAAAAAAAAATAAAAAAAAAAATCAGTTATTATTATTTTTTTTTTTATAACTTACCACATTGTGGGGTATCTTATACCCAGGCAGATATTTAACATTTTCATGTTCCTGGTTGATGATTTCTGAGAGTTTTCTTCCATTAATCATCTCTTCAAATACCCACATCTTGACAGTGGGATCAAATCTGTTTGACTTCTGGACATTTTTGCCAATGATTCTTGCTATGGCTGATCCCCTTTAAAATAAAATAAAAATAACTAAAAGGGGAAAAGTACTTTTATTGTGAGTTGGAAACACTAGTTACTTTAAACATCATAACTCATAAAAAGCCTGTGCTATAAAGCTGTCTAGGTGCTTGCAACATTTATCAGAAAGCTTTATCCCCTACCCTCCATCAAGAGCCCCTCAAGTTTAAGAACAGAGGAAGTAGAACAGGGGAAAAATATAACTGCAATAATGAAACTGAAGTAGTATCAAAGGTTATAGAGTAGGAATGTGAGGTACCATCAATAACACTAAAAATACATTATCTGAGATGAAAATCTCTTATGGTCCTCAGATAATTCTGTTTTTTATCAAGATCAATAAAAGTAAAATAATCCAGGTGGTAAATAAGTGCTGAGCAACCTTGCTGTGACAGTCTTTGTGCATCTCATGTAAAATAGATGCATCCCACTTTTCTATCCGTAACCAAACAGTTACAATGAGGATTTTACATAAGAGCTAAATGCTTAGAAAAAAAACAAACAACCCTTCAATCTGGTGTTTCTCTTTACTTATTGTTCTAATTATCACTGTAATAGGACCTGTAATACTTACAGCCTGAGGATATTTTGACCATCCAGTTTACTCATCTTGAGTCATGCTGAGTATTTTTAATTTCAGGTCAGACAATAATTTTATTCCCTCATCATCACTGCAGCCTTGCAAACGCTCACATGGCAGGGGAGAATTAGAAACCTCACAGAAATAATGTTTAATGAACTTTAAATTGTTTGGGGAAGAGGGGTGATTATTTTTACTCCTCTCTTCCTTCTCTCCAGTTTAATGCTACTTTAATCTCTCAAGTATTGGCCACTTTATTAACACGAGTGAAAGAGAAGCTCCAGTTGCAGCACTCTTTTCCTCTGGCCCGCTTGTAACAAGGAACATGAATAGGATTTAGCTGTGGTGTGTGTTCTGAAACTGATAAAGTTCTTGGGGATATCAAAGTCCAGGCAGGTCTGTGCTGTTAATGATTCAAAGGGAAACCGCGTTGTAACTGACGCTCCTTGGTTCACCCACATTTTTCATGTAACAGGTTAAATTGCTTAATAACTAATAAGGTCTTATTAATAGGTAATTACGGTCTTAATCTTTAATGATAAAGAAATCCTGCTGAGATCAGATTTCACTTTGCTCAGTGTTGATTATATGCTACATCCTGAGCTGCTGTAGTGCTTTTTTATCTAGTTATTTGGTTTGGGACTTTTTGGTTGGTTTATGGTTTTTATTTTGGGGGTTTGTCTGCTGTAGTGCTTTTTTATCTAGTTATTTGGTTTGGGACTTTTTGGTTGGTTTATGGGTTTTGTTTTGGGGGTTTATTTTGTAAAGGATGATTTGGTTTGATCCTTTACAATATTTAGGGAAGTGTTTTAAGGGTGAACCTTTTCTGTAAGAGTTCTGCTGTTTTAAAAGAAAGGCATGCAGTTATAGCATACATTCATATTATTTACAAAATTGCTTATATTCTGATTCTCTTGCCCTGCTGTCAACAGAGGCCACATTCAAAGCTTGAGCTGAGGATGAATTTTGGCTCCACACAAGAAACATATTTTAACAAGAAAAAGGTTTGGTTTTTTTTTTATAAACTTGAGATATAAATTCATTGTCCAGGCTGTCCAGCACAACCTGGATGATGAACTTACACATCGATCCTACCCATAAAAATGACTTTTTTAGCTAAGTACCAAGAACATACAATTTTCTGTTGAAAGATGCAGACTCTGGCTCTAATCCCTGAAATCCTGAATGGGACTTGCAACTCTCAATAGATAAACACAAACCCTCCTGCACCTACTGGCAACCAGAAAATGCAGTGCAGCACTTGCTTCGCTCGACCGTATCACTCCTGGCAGTGTTGACTTAGCAAGTCCCCGTGACCTGCTGAACTTCTGCAGCTGACATGAGCTTTTGCAACATTGCTGTGTCACGTGTCAACCACAATTCTGAGCTGCAGGAAAGCCTCAAGAGCACGGATCTGAACTGCTGGCCAAATATTTATGAGGAACATAAGGAAAAAAAATGTTTGCCAAAGGTAAACGTATTTCTCTGTAGCACTAAAACAACCTGTTCTGCCACTGAGGCTATGAATAAATGTTACTCATACATCAGGGCACAACGTTTATGTCCTCCCTGAGGATTTTAGAGTTGGTGTATATGGTAGGAAGCAAGAATGGGCCCAGGCACACAGGCAGAATGGGTAAGTAGAAGGTATTGAATGGGCTGGGGTGTCAGTATCTCTGTAGTATAGCTCTTTTCAGGTTTGTAGGTACATGTGGAAAAACAGAGAACCTCCTCAAGTACAGATCTGAATACAGCTAAGTGACTTTAAATGATGTCTTGTGGGAAGGTGGACAGCCTGGGAAAGGCAGGAGGTCCCTGCTTGAGGATGCAGCAAGAGAATGATGATTTTTGTGCCTGTGGGCTGACCAAAGGTAAAAAAAGTTGCCTTCCAAACATGCAGTCAGGGCTCTTGAGGGCTTGGAAGAGACAATGAGCTGTTGCCTGCATAGGCAAATGAGGAAAGAGAAAGTGGCAGGGAGAGGGATGCCTTCCCTAAAAAACATGTGAAAGCAGCAGTTGAGGAAACAATGATTGGGCTAGAGAAAGCCAGAAGTGTGACAATGAGGTCCAGAAGACTTGGCTGTGCAGTTCCATGTGAAAAGCTGTGAGATGTCATGCACAAAGAGAATGCATTGCAGGCAGTGGACTGTTTTTACAAGGCAGGAAGGCAGAGAGCTGTGCTTTAACTCTGCTGTGTTCTCAGCAGCTCAAAAGCAACCACTCCCTCACTTAGTGACTCTTCTGGCATTACTTCCACCTAGCTGTCAGATATTTTAAAAATCTTATGGATCTTGCTCTCCTCGTACAAAAACAATCACCAGAACCTGGAGGCTAGGTTTGCTAATCCCAAATGCATGCACATGCATGTTGGTCTGTTTGTTTGTGCTCAGTGTACAGGAAGCATAAGAAAAGTAAGATGCTAAGTCCTGTGAGATGATTTACTGATCTTACTGGGATCTGTCAGACTCAAGGAGCTCTGGAGACCCGTGCTTTTGTCCGGGCTGGAAAGGACTGAGCAGTAGCAAACATATTGGTAAGAATGAAGGTAAATAGGAGACCTGAACACTATGCTGTGCCCGCACCAAGATGCAAAAGGACACGCTGAGGAGGTTGGAAGTGAAAGGCGCCAATACATCGTGGCTTTAAATGAAGCCTGTGCCCCGCTTCCTTCAGAGGAACACAAACAGCATCACCACCCTCCCCACTGCTGAATGCTTCAGTTTGAACTGCCGGGGCCCTGCAGCAGGCACACACAGCCACAGCTGCAGCTCCGGGCCTCTCTGGGTTCTGTCGCCAGGCTTCAAGCGGCTCACGCACCTGGGGTGATGCGGGAGCCTCATGCTTTTCCAGCTCTCATGGACCGGTGCATCTCTCGGGACCGATGCTCCCTGCCCAGGGGCCCAGAGCCGCGGCAGGACGGGGCCGGGGTCGCGGTTTCAGGACCATGGAGACGCTCCTCGCCCCCGCCCCGCCGCTCCCCGTGCCGCACCTGTTGCGAATCCCCCGCCCGCCGCGGCCAGAGGAAAAACCGGGCAAGGAACGGGGCAAGGAGGAGGAAAAGGGAAAAACACGAGATGAAAAAGGGAGGAGGACAAAGGGAGAGCCCCCCCGCGCTGCGGCACTCACCAGTTCCCCGAGCCGATGATGCAGACGCGGAGCGCCGACATCCTGCGGGCTGCGTCCCGCCCGCGGGGCTGGCTCGGCTCGGCTCGGCTCGGCTCGGCTCGGCTCGGCTCGGCTCGCTCGCTCTCTCCCGGTGCCAGCACCGCCCCTGGCGCCCGGCCCGGCCCCCGGCGATGCGGGAGGGACGGGCGAGAGCGGGCGGCGGCCCCGGGGCAGCGGCGGCTCCTCCCCGGCCCCGCCTGCGGCCCCGGCGGATGCTCTGCCCGGTCCGTGCTGGCCCGAGAGCTGCCCTGCGAGCCTCGGCCGGGATTCACTGCCCTGGAAGGGGGAATGGGGACAATGGTGCGTTCTCCGAAGTGTTCGGGGTTAGGGACCGGAGTGGGGAAAGAGGGAAGCGCTGTGCTTCTGTGGGTGGGACCTTCCTGCCCAGCGGCAGAACCCGGGGCTTCGGTAGGGTGAGTAAGGTGGCAAAGGGACAGCTGCGCTCTTCGGGACGGTGAGAGACATCTCAAGGTCCCACCTGCCTTGCCCCACGAAGAGTAATGGTTTAAATCCTTCAGTGACATTAGGAACACAGCAAGAAAAGGCTGTGAGTGCATTAGCAGAGCCCAATTCAGCTGATAAACCCTGAACTATATCACAGCTCTTAATATGGGACACCAAATACAAGTTGTCTGCAGGGAAGAACAAAAAGGAGTGTTGGTCCTTTTCTCCTACATTGTTTAATCATGCATAACACCCTACAAATGAGCACATTTTACCTCTCAGCCCTCTAGCACTCTTCAAAGCATCCTTCTCTCATTTTTGAGCCAAAGGGCTGCAATTGCCACCTCTCCTGCTCTTGCACTCCTGCTTCCTCTCATCCTCCATGTCAGAGCTCCCTTCTCTGCCGGGGGGCTGCAGGCTCAGCAGTGACCACATCTGCTGCCCTGACCCCAGTTTGGCTCAGTGGTTCCTGGCTCTGTGGGATGTGGACCCCTGACCCTGTGAATCATAGAGGGAGGCTGGCTGCCAGCACTGGAGGAGCCTGTGGGTGTTTCTGGAGGTACACATATGTTCATCTCGCCGGCTGTCAGCTCCATTGGCTCAATAATTCGGTGTGTCCTGGTAGTGATGACGGTGTGGACTTAACAAAAAACTAGGGAAAAATCCTGCAAAATAATATTTTTAGAAAATAACCAGGCTGATTAAAAGGAAGGTGTAGCTGGGACCTGGGGCATTTGTGAAGCCTGATGGGGATTCTGCAAGAATATGCATTACCTGCAAGCAAAGTTTGAGCACAGCCAAGGCACAAGAGCCTTTCTCTGGTTCAAGAAACATTTGCAGTATCCTGCTTGTTCACCATGATTTGCTTCTTCCTCTGTGTCCCTTCATTCTCTTCTCCCTTTAACTCACCTTCCTCATGAGAAGATCTAATAGTGGAGGTGGAGAGTAGCCATCATCCTTCTTGTCCTGTTCCTCTGCTTGCTGCAAGCTCTTCTGTCCCTAGGCTCCAAGGGGGGGACATACTCACTGAAGTTCAAGATCTGCAACTATATACTACATAAGTTTTGCAAACTGTGAGTGTTTTTTTTCCAAATTAAGGTGCAAGCTTTTAATTACCAAGGAAAACTGAAACAGTTTGGTGGACTTTGGACTAATTTATGTGGCCTCAACATCACGATTACAATGCCCATTTGGTGGGTGCAAATAAACTGGCAGGGGACGAGAGGCAGATGGATACAGCAGCATTTGTGAAGAGCAGGGGACACAGCCTGGACTGTGAGTGCACACATTAGCTTATCCATCTGTGACACTAATTGGCTGTGGAAGTACATATTTTGTGGTGCTGCTGAACTCTGCTCTGGATTTGTGTGCCGTGGAGATGGATAGGGAAGCATTCGCTCCCCACGGATGGTTTCAGGTGTTCTGCAGGCAGTTTTAGATGTCAGGTTTGGTTGTGAAGGCTGTCTCAGTGGCAGTGTTGTGTGAGGCCCTGAGAAATGTGTCCTTTGTTAGGTTTCAGAGCCCCAGAGCACACACTGGCAGTGCTGACGGCTGTTGTTTTATCAGGCAATGGGAAGAATCTGTTCTTTCCCATGGAGGCTCCCTGTTTGTTTTTCACATAAGCCCAGGAGCGATAGCTCTGATGTGTGAGTCGTTGGAACAATAGCAGACATAAAAGCTCAGTTGCCATAAAGGGAGGCTAAAGACAACTCTCTCAAGGCCATCCCCACCCAACCTCACCTGATCTTGCTCACCTAATGCCCAGAGATTACACGGCTGAACCTTTTCCCCCTGCAAACAGCAAGACCTCACCATCCCTGCAGCAAAGCCTGAGCTGCAACACGAGATTTTGGTAAGCCAGGTGTGGCTCTTCCTATGGTGCCAATGCAGTCTTTGAGCATCCCCAAAAAAGTGACTGAGAAATGCCAAACTCAATATCCCTCTTAAGATTGGTTAGAGGTTTTGCCCCCTCTTCTACTTAGAAGCTATTACTGCTCTCAGAATGTGAGCCCTTTTTCTTGTTTCCTACCCAACTTCTGCCCATCTGCTCTAGCATGAGTGCTGTCTATAAATGTGAATCATTCTTCTCCCCTGATGCTTATTCTCCCTGTCTGCCTGACTAAAACCTCAAATGTATTTACAGAGAGGAATCAGATCCCATCTCACCATTCATTTTGCCAAGCTCAGCAAGACATGCTGTCTTAGCTATTCCTCTGATTATCTGGATGTCACTTCTTTGTACCCGTTCCAGGATGAATTCAGGCTTGTTGAACACCAATAACCTGAATGATGACCAGAAATTTCAGCTGAATTTTACCCAGTGTTTTGTATCTATTTGTTGACTGTTCCTGAAAATACAGGGCTTGCTACATGTAGGACTCCATGTATCTTTCTAAATACTGCACCACACATGATTCTTCCTCTTCTGTTGTTCATAGTGGATAAATTCTAATTTAAGGCAGAAATGTTACCAATCTCTCAGTACACGTCCCTGCATTATATGCTGTTACATTTCTTCCCATGTCTGTGATTAGGGCATGGTAATTATGTAATTCTTCCTTTAAGATTTCCTCTCTATTAAAATATAATATATAAATATATAATATTGTTGTTAGCAAATTTCATTACCTTACTCGTAATTTTTTGCATCAAGCTAACTAATGACATTACTTAGCCTTACTGACTACTCCAGTCCTATAATTTTGCTCTCAGCCCCATCAGCAGTTTTCACTCCCAGTTCTGTTCCTTCATCATTTTATAGTATTTACGTTAATCCTCATCTTCTCAAGTTCAAGTAATAATTATCTAGGTAATACCAAATCAAATGCTTTACCAAAGTCTAGGTTGATAAGATTTATTATTTTTCCTTTGTTCTGATATGCCATTATCTTATCAAAGAAAGACATTGAGCTGGTCTACGTCTAATGTGCCTAATCTATATTTTAACCCATTTTTTGCTTCCATTCATTTTGTTCCTCATGTCTTTCGTTCCTCATGGCTAACATTTGCTCTAAAAAGCCCAAAGATGTCATTGATGGAGATTAATCAGTATTCAGAAGTGAAGGGTTCCTCAAGTTTTGTGGCTGTGTTACACAATAATTTCCATGTCTGTGCCCTTTAGCCTCTTAAGCGTGCTGCCTCTGCTCTCTGGGGTTAGTTACATTTTTTTCTTTATGGAGTCTGAAGCAATATCTTCCTTTAGCTTTTAGATATCTGCCCTGCTGCTGTTGTCGTCAGTGCTTTCCTTCACTTCCTTTGCAGTAAACCCTTTTTATGTCCTTGTTTTCCTTCCCTGTGCAGGTCTGGTTTGTTTTGATTTTGAGTCATACCTTTAATTTTGGATGTTTGAATGACAGTTCTCTCTGCATTATCACTCCCTTCTCATTTTTTTCACTAGGCTTTCTGCATATTCCTGAGATGTCCTGCACTGTCTGCATCACAGTTCACATCCTATGCAGGTATCTCGAGCTACTGGAAATATTCAGTCTTATTTTGTCTGATCTCTTTGGAGAGAAGTAAGATTCAAGGACCTCTTCCATCTTGTGACTACTTGAAAGCAAAGCAGAATATGAATTTTGCACTCCCTGGGGTGATGATGAGATAGGGTGGCTCTTCAGCATCTTAAGGAATGCAGGCTTTAGAGTTTAGGGAAAGAGGAGCTGAAAACTGAGGTATGCTTTTATATTTTTCCAAGCCTTGTGGGCTGATGTCAGCAGAACTCACACATTCAGTTTTTTCACCTGTGAATCTATAGGTAGAGTTTTTTGGGGTAGGTCTGGAGTTTAGAACAAGGGTTCCCAATGTCAGCCTTGGTGTGTGAGAGGAGCCCACCTGTTGTGAGTGTCCAGAGAAACCTTCCCCTGGCTGAGGTCTGCAGGCCATTAAAAACCTACCACTCCAGCTCTACCCAAAATGCAAGTGCAGTGCCTGACCTTCACCTTACCCTAGACAGCCTGTTGGACTGCACTGGCAGAATTACTGGGCATTATTATTATTATTATTATTATTATTATTATTATTGTTATTGTTATTGTTATTGTTGTTGAGCATTATTATTGGCAGTCGGAATTACTGGGATATCCTGGCCTCTTCATTTTCCTCTGGAAAATTCCTCTCCCTGAATTACATCCTAAACAGAAGATTTTCATGGTTTTAAATGCACATATAAACACTAAATTAATACGCTTAATTACTTTTAATTCTAGGTAGTAAATTATAGGCATTTATACTGAGGTAGCATATACGTTATAGGCATTTATACTGAGGTAGCAAAAAACTTATAGGCATTTATACTGAGGTAGCATATAATATCTCAAAAAGACTCTTACAAGATATTAGGTACAAATAAACAATGTCAGCTTGCATCCCTAAAAGCTGACAGCCCAAATTGCTTGCAGTTTTACAGCTTCCACATGGACTTCTTGCATGTGGAAGCTGTAAAACTCCTTACTCACTCATAGGATTTAGAAAGCGAATTAACAGAGAAGCTTTGACTCCACTAATTTCATTTAGTTGAATTTTCTGCTGCAGGTTCTCATCAGATTATATAGGAAGAACTTTTTTCACACTGAAGTTAGTTCTCCAACAAGGCACTCAGCAGAAAATGAGACTGGAGTTTAGCTGTATAGAAATCTACATAATTCCAAGCAATTTAAGGAATTCAAGCAGAACAGACTGAGAGGTCAATTGTAAACCATCTGTACTCTTAAGGGCTTTCTGTAATCCAACAGAAAAAGTTTTCAGGGCAAGAAATAGGACTATAGCAGAACTGAAAAATGCATTTGACAGAAGAGAAACAGTATTGGTAACTTAATTTTCCATAAAACAG